GACGACTGCCAATTGTTCTCGTTTTATTGGTTGAAAGCGAAAACAACTTTAATATTCACTACATATTCTATCATTAGAAATACAGATATGTCAACAATACTGGCCTTTTTACAAGATGGATACAGATAGGTGCGGTCCTAACCTGTACAAAAGTTAACTTGGAGCAGACTTTCATTATCACTGAACTAGTATATATATTTGTTTAGGGGCCAGCTGAAGGACACCTCCGGGTGCGGGAATTTCTCGCTGCATTGAAGACCTGTTGGTGGCCTTCTGCTGTTGTCTGTTCTGTGGTCGGGTTGTTGTCTCTTTGACACATTCCCCATTTCCATTCTCAATTTTATTGTTGACTGCTTTTTAAGTTAACTTGAGAAGTTTTAAGCAGACAAGCAAGTTAACTTCGTCGTTGGTAGACCAGACCTAAGGTCTACCTTTTTAGGACGGCTGCAGACCTATTAACAGGTCTGCTCAAGAACAGACCTGTGGTCAAGTCTGCTTTTGACCAGTCCTGGGGACAGGTCTGCTCCTGACCAGACCTGTGGACAGGTCTGCTACTGACCAGATCTGTGGACAAGTCTGCTATTGACCAGACCTGAGGACAGGTCTGCTTATGACAGATTACCGTGTTTAAGACTTTTCATATCAGACTTGAGCTTTAAATATGTAAACAATAATTGCATTATTCTTTTTTTACTCATTAGACTCTATAGATATTATACACATTAAAAACAATCTTTTTTTCATTTCATATTCTTATATACATTAAACAATGGCTATAAAACTGCACACTTGTGATCACATACAGCTATCATAAAAAAAAAGCAAGTTTTTTTAATTAGAAGGTGGATAGAAAGGTTATCCAGGCATCGGAACAATATTCTGATATCATGGAATATCAACATCATTGTCGACGTTGCTGTGTTCCCCATTTTTTACAGTCTCTTCCTAAATTTATCTTTATGCATTACATGGATGTTTCATCGTTATTCACCTTACGTGCTTTGGATAAACGATTCTGTTTTCGACAAAATATTCTAACGAAAATTGTACAGTGTCCGGATACATAAGGTGTGTATAATTATGAACAATCTCGTCAATTTCGTCAGATTTGTCTTTGCCGATTATAAATGGTATATGGGACGTTCGAAAAATATACTCGTTGTGCACATGGACGAAATAGTTGCCACTTGACGTTTAGCTACAAACAAAATCAATCAACCGTCATAATATACTAGCAGTATACTATTCCCAGAAGAGAACTTTTTATACTTTTCATTATAAAGTACAACTGAAATCAGACATGCCAGTGTTGGATGATGCCGTCAAATAATTTTGTTATACACACCATCCTGAACTACTTACTTAAGTGACGGTTCAATATTATGAATACAGAGCTGAATTGCTGACAATCTAAATTGATACGGAAAAGAGTTTGCATTCATTGTTTTCCAATATTGCTTTCATCTGTATTATACAATCAATCCTGACATAAAAAATATTGCTGATTAACTATGCGGCTATATAGATTTACATAATGAAATGCAAATATGGTCAGTTTTGGTTGATGTCAAATAATTTTGTTGTACAAGTCTACCTGAGATATCAAAACTACTGAAATTTTGTTACTTAATAATATTTTTAATAAAAAGAGGACACGCTAGCACTCTTAATTTATGCGGACAAAATTTTGTAGTTATTGTGTTCCAATATTGCTGTCATTTGTATTATACATTCTATCCTGACATAAAAAATATTGCTGATTTACTATGCGGCTATATAGATTTACATTATAAAGTGCAAATATGGTCAGTTTTGGTTGATGCTGTCAAATAATTTTGTTGTACAAACCTGCCTGAGGTATCAAAAGTACTGAAATTTTATTACGTATCAATAGTTTGAGTAAAAAGAGGACATGCTGGCACTCTAAATTTATGCGGACAAAATTTTGTAGTCATTGTGTTCCAATATTGCTGTCATTTGTATTATACATTTAATCCTGACATAAAAATATTGCTGATTTACTATGCGGCTATATAGATTTACATAATAAAGTGCAAATATGGTCAGTTTTGGTTGATGCGGTCAAATAATTTTGTTGTACAAGTCTACCTGAGATATCAAAACTACTGAAATTTTGTTACGTAATAATATTTTGAATAAAAAGAGGACATGCTAGCACTCTAAATTTATGCGGAAAAGAGTTTGCATTCATTGTTTTCCATTTTGCTTTCATCTGTATTATACAATCCATCTTGACATAAAAAATATTGCTGATCTACTATGCGGCTATATAGATTTACATAAAAAAAGTGCAAATATGGTTTATACGATTTAAAGAACTAATTTCGCCAGTATATACAGAAAGTTGAATGTGGACAATATATGGAAAAAGAAAAAGAATTTGACATGTATTGGAATTTGTATTCAATGCCCGTTATCATTGTAACCAATATAGTTTTTTTAATTTTTAGAAAGGCAGATCACGGATAAATTTGTATAACCAAATAACAAGCAAAGTTTTATGCAAATTTTAATTACAAATACATGCATTCAATCGCGTTTATATCACGGAAGTATTAAATTGACTTTATTTTTCTATGTTTATACCAAGAAACAAAGACATTAAAAACTATTTTTAAAAAATCGATGTAGAGCGGTCCTGGTTACAAGTTAACTTAGTGTTCAGCAGACCAGCCAAATGTTAACTTGAGATCAGGTCTGGTTCGATCGGAGTTTTCAAAATAAAAGTTAACTTATGTTAACTTATGTTAACTTATGGCAGAACTGGTTTCGAAGTTAACTTATATCAGTAGCGATCCTGTTTCCAAGTTAACTTTTTCGGCAGACATAAAAACAGTCCTAGGACCAAGTCCGCTTTTCAAGTTAACTAGCTTGTGGTCCTATGACTGGTCCGAGCAGTCCTAAATCCTGTCACAGGTTAACTTTGACCAGTCCAAATGACTGGTTATCGGGTTAACTTGCTGTACAAGTTAGGACTGCACCCATCTGTAGATGTTTCCACATATATTGCTGATAACAACGAGCAGTAAAAGTTGATAGTAATATAACGTTCGAAAACATATGTTTAAACAAGACAAGGATGTTATAATAGTAGCCATGAACAACTTTAGTATTTTTGTTATTTCAGAAACAAAAAAAATATCTAATGTTTTATTTTCCTACCGAAACAATTTTATTTTTTTAAGAAACTAAGATAAAAACAGTACTTAGCCTCACCACCAATTTTTGCAAGATGCATACCCACACAAAACGATTGCCGGTGTCCAAAGGAGAGTTTATTTATTCAATGTTGGATATCAACTTTTTTAATTAGATTTGAGCGTGATTTTGTTTTTTAAAGACCTATAATTGCTTTAATTTCATTACTACAAGTTCTTATTTTAATGAGAAACTAAAATAATTCAAAGACAGAAAAAAGTAACAAGTGAGCATTTACCAACAAATGAGACATACTCGATCATATATAAATGGAACATGTAGGCATCAATATTCGAATTTATGTACCTCGTGTGTATAAATGAAAAGTAAGATCACAAAAATACTGAACTCCGAGGAAAATTCAAAAAGGAAAGTTCCTAATCAAATGGCAAAATCAAAAAATCTAACACATCAAACGAATGGATAACAACTGTCATATTCCTGACTTGGTACAGGCATTTTCTTATGTAGAAAATGGTGGATTGAACCTGGTTTTATAGCTAGCTAAACCTCTCACTTGTATGACAGTCGCATCAAATTCCATTATATTGACAACGATGCGTGAACAAAACAAACAGACACAACAGGTAAAAATGTCAAAAATAGGGGTACAGCAATCAACATTGTGTTATCATCTTAATCACTATAAAAAAACAAAAAAATGTAACGAAGAAGCACAAAAAGGCATACATCAAATTTAACATCCTCATTTTGCTTTTTTATTATACGATTTTATTTATCTATGTAAAATCACCCATAAAGGATGGAAGGTTTTAAGTACTGGCGTAAAATCGCGCGTTTGAAATTCGCACAGGTAGACATAAAATAATTTTGTCGTTCAAAGTATGACGGGATACATAAGTACAGAGTCACATAAAATGGATATCACAAAAAACAGACTTAACAGCAAAAGTAATATTAATAAAAAAAAATAATTTTGTGGTTCAAAGTATGACGGGATACATAAGTACAGAGTCACGTCAAATGTATATCACAAAAACAGACTTAACAGTAAAAGTAATATTAATGAATAAAATAATTTTGTCATTCAAAGTATGACGGGATACATAAGTATAGAGTCACGTCAAATGGATATCTCAAAAAACAGACTTAACAGTAAAAGCAATATTAATAAAGACAAATAAAAGAATACTATCACACGTTATTAAGATGATAAACAACGTCAGTACGCAGAATCTATACTTCAAGACCATCGTGTATTATTTGTGAAGTTGATACGGAATATTTATCAACAAGGTCTTGGTACCTTCCGATGATTTTTTTAGAAAAAGGACGAGGCATTCTTTGACAAACCCCTGGTTCATCAACTTTTTGCTCAGACACTGGTGACGTTTTACAAAGTCTGAGTAGGAGCTGCAAGCTCTTGAATACCGAATAATTTGGGAAATGTATATCCCATATGCAGGTGAAGTTGGTATATTGCTATTAAGGTGGGGGAAATTGATAATTTCAAAATTAAAATCGTCTCGTTTGTCATAGATTCTGGTACTGAGATGACTGTGTATGTCAAATTCGAGGTATAAGTCTATAAATGAGGCAGAGGAAATGATGATAACTGATACTCAATTCAAATTCAAAAGGTTTGCCAGATAATTACTGGGACACCTACATAGTATTACTGCATCAGACAATTAAAACAATATCAAAATTGAAAATATCATAATTAACATATATAGTTGATATATTTTGAGTTTTTTATGTGTTAAACGCATCGAAAATGAAATAAGTTTTGATAATGCATTTGCATGTTTCCTTTGCAGAATGTTTATGGTGTCATTTTTTAATTGCCATGGAGGGACACACAATGTCGTCATAATGTAAGCATTGATCTAATAATTACATGATTATTGAGTTAAATGTGACCGTTACTTATATTAAAGTTTAATTGATATACATCGTATGAGCATTCGATGACAACAGTACTAGTCTAGTTATCATGTTGTTAAAATCTATAATCTGATCTAAGTATAGAGTTAAATATCATAGAGATAGATTGAGTTCATTGAGAATAAAATCTAAATACGTTCTTGCAAATTTTTAAAGTCTGATTTACTATTTTATTGATACACTTATAAGTATTAATACATAATACATTAAATGAAGTTCTTTGCATCAGGACATAACAATAACATATTGAGTACTAAAAATAAATTTATATACCTTTTTTTCTGCAAAAAGATGAATTGGAAACAATGACTATGTTCCGGATCATATGAATATTTCCATTATATGCGTATGGTCCGGTTGATTAATACGATGAACGTTAAAAAGGTGTCTTATAAATTTAGAGTTTCTAAAAATGATTTGTTTTCCTTACTCAATCACATTGTAATCATTGTTACGTGATTAATGAATTAAAATGAATTTTACTTACAAGTAAGAATTATGGTAAATTCATTTTTACATAGTCCATGTAGTCATTATTGATGTTTTCTTACATTTGTACGAAAGACAATATGTCGACTTATCAAAATAACTTTAAAAAATATCTAAATGAACTGTTAAGTCATTGAACCCTCTTTTTTCCTTTTTTTTTTTTATTTATTTTGGTGTTTTTGTAAAATTAAAATATCTGAAAAAATTCTAATTGTTTTAAGTTATTTTATGTGTTCTTGTTCATATGTTTACGAACCCTTAACAAAAGATAAATCGTATGAATAGGTGAAAGAACACAATAATTAAATCAAAATAAGTTAAGATTCGAAGAAATGCTGTTTCAGAAATTTTAATTTAAACACTAAGAAAAAGTAAAAAAAAAAGGTCCATGCGAAAAACGACAGTGGTTTCACTTGCGGACAAAAAAATAGTCGACAAGTTAATGATGAAATACCTGTATGTTCTAAATACTCATATGGTCCAACCCGTCCATAATCAAACGAGTATAGTATTCATATGATTCGGAACAGCTACATCAAACACTAGGCAACATAAAAAAAATCAAAATCAACAAATAAAACTAATTATAGGAAATTGTCAAATCAGAGGTAGTTTTCAGTATACATGTAGCTCAATAGTCACTATTTCCAAATCAAACTACTTAAACTAATTTTCATCATAAGATGAAGTCTTCAAACTCATTCAGGTAAACATTACTCTAGATTTGTTTAATGAAAATAAAAAAAGACATACTTAAAGCTACCAGGAAAATGATCTATTTTTTTATTACTATTTTTTTTTTATATCTTTTAATAATTATCTACGTTGTCTTGTTTTTCATATTATATAATTTCATGTTTAAGTGTACTTCGATATCGCATATTTTTCTTTTTATAACGATACCTAAAATGACGATGTGCTTTCATTTTGGACCAAAAAAACTCAAGTGCGCTACTACTTTGCAGTTTAGTTCAAATATATTCTATTTGTAAAATATTACAAAATGGATGAGACACAAGTTAGTCCAACTTAGATTGTCTTCTCCTAAGTTACAATATTAGTCAATAGTATTTCATAGCATGCAAATATCACATTTATTATAACACAATATAATCAAAGATCTGTAATTTAAGAGACATTAAAAAAAACAGTATAGAAAAGGGAAAGATAGGAAGAAACAAATAGATGCATATGTGTGTGTGTGAGTGGATCACTACATTCAGCTTATACACATGGTTAAACAAGTAACATTTTGGTCTTTTTTATATAGTCAAAAACATTTCAAAATATTTCTTCATTTTGCTCATTTGTCAAATTTATACTACCAGATGTTATAATCTCTAGATCATAAACAAGGCCATCCGGTCATCAACAAGAAAAACCCACAGTGACCAAATGGATCTGATACACTATTCATTTGGATCAGATCAAAGTTAAGAAATGTAGCTGAACTACGTAAAATAATATTGAGATTGCTTGGACCAAATGCATAGTAAATAGGTATCGTTTTATTCCATACTCTAGATTTCTTTTTTTAAATTATTTTTTTGATTTTGATAAAGTTTTTGTTTTTTTTATCGCACAATGCAGTAAACCTATGCCAATTGTTTCCTACCCATGTGACAGCCTTATGATAAAAGTCCATTATCAGTGCTTATTTCTACTGTTCATCATAAATAAAACTGAGAATGGAAACGGGGAATGCATCAAAGAGACAACCCGACCAAACGGAATTCGGATCACCAGATATTTAATTTTTAATTTTACAAAGAATGTTTCGAGAAAAAATAAGAAATTATACATTCTGAACTGACATTTATATCTTAATGTGATACAATGGCTAATGAGACACTATCAACCAGAGACCAAAACAGCTCACTGTACGGTTTTTAAACAATGAGCAATGGAAAACCCATAACTAAAAGTAATTTATGACAAGTTTCTGATCCGACAAACTGTGAAACAATTCAAAGATTAAATGCAATGGCATGACTTATTGTATAGACATGTATAGAAACCGAAAAATATGGAAAAGCAATTTTCGTCCTCATATCAAACAAATACGCTTTTCTTGTCCTTAACAATTGAAACAACTGTGCAATAAATCACAATTTACTAAACACAGTTTAATTAGAAATAGAATAATAAAACACCAAACACAAAAATGAAAGAAGTTCCATATCGAAACGTAGAAAAACATTATTATATAAGTTCCCGAATTATCTCAGATTATTCACTTATTATTCCTATTAAAAGAAACAAAAATAAGTTTTATATTACTTACGATTCTTTGATGTTTATTGTCAACAATAACCATGTATACACTCTAACACTTTTGAATCTTCTAATTGCACGTGTTCTAAACAAATTTTAATTTCACTTGGCGGAAACGTGATCAATTTTTGATTGTTACATTTGAAATCGAAACTTCACATTTTCACCATTTAAGCGAAGCAAAATTCAAGTGTTATTGTATTCATAACGTGGCTACGGAAAACAAAACACACTGAACAGCATTCATGACTTTTATGTAAAATTCCAGGAACGTCTCGGACATCTTCGACAATCAAGGCTAAAGCTGAAAAAACAGGGATCAGTAGTTTTACCACCAGGTATTTTTAATAAACAATCAGACAATATGTAAACTTAAACTTTAGACTATGATTTGGAAACGCATTTGACCTAAAGAACTGCATCGTGAGTTATGTATTGAAATTTCCAGAAATGTCGACGAAAACAAATTTCAACGTACATATAAATTAAGAACATGTTGAATTCCTACTCAATTTTCGATCTAAAAACAGAGAAAGTGCTGCAAGTTTTTGAAAATACTGTTTAATTCTAAACCCATATTGGATCAGAACTTTTACTTCAGATTTTGTTTGTTACCATGACTTCTTTCTTCTTAATCTTTTACGAGTTTTGAACATCGGTTATCGACTGTCGCTTTAATTTACCAACATGATTTGAGAAAGATCAGTAAAATATCCAACCAAATTTTGTAACTGCGTTCATTGTTTTCAATCCATTATCCTTTATGAAATATCCGTTTAACAGATGACATATGTTCCAATTGTCATAATTACAATCCCGTCCCATTTTGTCCCAAATGTGACCTACCGAATTAGACTTATCATCGGGTTTGTACTAACATGAGCAACACATATATGGAGCAGAATTTGTTTACCGTTCCGGATCACCTGTAATCACCCCTGGCTTTTGGTGGGATAAGTGTTGCTCAGTCTCTAGTTTTCTATGTTGTGTTTTGTGTACTTTTGTTTGTCTGTTAGTCTTTTTCATTTTTAGCCATGGCATTGTCAGTTTATTTTCGATTTATGAGTTTGAATGTCCTTTGTCATCTTTCGCCTCTCTTTTAAAACAAGCGAAATGAAAATGAAAATGAAAAACACAGCGTTAATTTGCTGTTTGTTACCATAAATGAAAACTGTGTTATTCAATACAAAGTAAAATAAATATTTCTGAACCAAACAAATTTCCGCATAAGGTATTTTCAATTGACTGATAGTTTAAAGTATGTAAGCATGACCATTCAGACAATGGCTGACAATGTATTTTCACTGAACCAGTACACAATTTTATTTAGGGGCCAGCTGAGGACCACCTCCGTGTGCGGGATTTTCTCGCTGCGTTAAAGACCCATTGGTGGACTTCGGCTGTTATCTGCTCTTTGGTCTTTTTGTCTCTTTGACATATTCCCCATTTCCATTCTCAATTTTACTGATTGATTGAAATGATATATTTGCGTTTTGAGTTGTTAAAGAAAAAATAACAACAAACATCATACAATCAAATTTAAAAAATGGCTTCGGAAAACAAATACAGTTGGATGTAGACCAAGCATAACATAAAGTAAACGCACGTTAACGCATAGTGTACATATTTCGTTTGCTAACTTCAATATTTTCGTTTAATAGTAAACGTGCGTTTACTATAATTACGTTAACGCAGTCAAAACGGAAATTTCGAATGTCTACCCGAGTAATACCGGCGTCGCACATCAGCGTATAGCACCGACGTACGTCGGGCGTGGTCAAAAACCATGTACGCGGCCAACGCGCTAGTAATTTTGGACGCATTCAACTTGTCAATCATATCTGTATCGTGTGCACAACGAGCTGGAAGCGTGTTTAGGGCGTACGAGAATTATACATTGGCGTATGTCTTGCGTTTATCGGGCGTTCAAGTAATGTATTATTGGCGTATGTCTTTCATTTATCGGGCGTTCAAGTAATGTATTACTGGCGTAAGTCCGACGTTTGTCTAAAGTAGATAAAATGCAAATCACGAAGGAAAGACATCTTTATAGCAGAACGGAAAGTAAAAAGATTCTGCTAGATTGTATTCATTCTTCTGAAGAAGCTGTTTAAAGTAAGCCTCATATGAATAAAAGACCAAGCCGACCAAAACATTTGGTTCCAATGGGAAAAACGATTGTTTGTTGACAAACACGTCCTCCATACATAACAAATAATGTGTCAAATATGTTGTTCTTAGGGAGGGATAAATCCTACTTTGTAAAAAATCACTCTGATTCAAACAAACAATTGTCTGAAACGGACATTATCAAGATTCTTGATTTCTTGATTGACAACATAGTTGTTACGTTTGGATTGACGTGTTTTTCAACAAACAATCGGCATCCCCATGTGAACCAACTGTGCAGTATCCTTTAACTTTACTTTCCACTATATAGATGATGTTCTCTCACTAAATAATTCAAAATTTGGTGACTATGTTGAACGCATCTATCCAATCAACCTTGAGATTAAGGATACAACAGATACAGTTAAGTCTGCCTCATATCCTGACTTACATCTAAGAATTGACAATGATTGTCGTTTGAAAACAAAAAACTTTATTACAAAAGAGATGATTTCAGCTTCCCAATTGTGAATTTTCCATTTCTATGTAGCTGAAATCAATCCTTCGTAACTTTTATGGACGCCATCACGAGTTGGTTGACCGTTTTGAAATATCCGTTTCACTGATGATAGCGGATATGTTCCAAATGTCGTTACTACAATCCATTCCCGATTTAACCGAATGTGTCCTACCGAATTGAACTAATTACCGGGTTTGTACTAACATGATAACATGAGCAACACGACGAGTGCCACATGTGGAGCAGGATCTGCTTACCCTTTCGGAGCACCAGAGATCACCCCCAGTTTTTGGTGGGGTTCGTGTTGCTCAGTAGGATTCTACCATTCCGGTAGCCTAACAGCATGAAGACTAGTAGAATAAAAAATATTATACTGGATGACACGCCGCCCAGGATAAAGAGGTGTCAATCGGATGTTGTCAAGGACACAACAACACCGATTTTATCAGGTGTCCCCAGGATCATCTTAAAGGATGTAATGAAAATGACACATGTGCAGTCCTCTGAATCCTCATTGTACTATAAAAATTCAGACAAGTGTGTTTATATTCGGCCCTGTACTGTTCAACTTGCAGATATTTTAGATTTCGATGACAACCACCAATATTGCTCTATTTCCAAATGTAACCGTAAAAATTGTCAAACCTGTGATATACTAATATCTGATACCCACTTTCAGAGTAATTTAACCACCAAAAGTTACAATACACACAGTCATGAGGATCTGAATTGCACTGCTTCCAATATTGTGTACGGTATTGAATGTACTCTTTGTGGATTGATCTACGTCGGGGAAACTCAACAAAGACACAATTTTAGAATGAATGATCATCGGTCTAATGTAAATGATCCTAATAACAACAAATTTCTCTATAAACAGATCATCCTGGCCATTCTATTGTTTCAATGAGAAAATATATCATTCAACAAATGACCCCATTTTGAGTACACCATATCGTTTACACAGAGAAGACTTTAGGATAAGACAGTTGGGAACAGCCATTCCCTATGGATGCAATGACAAAAATGATGGTGTAGGTATTTTGTCTAGTCCCAGGTGTAGTACTGTCAATACATTACAATTATTTAATACTTCTGCTCGACGAAATAGAAATCATGGTCCCAGAAAATATATACCACCTGCTGTGCACACCGTGACAATTAATAGTCTGTTAACGTCTGTTCAAAAACCTTTAGGAATTCATCATATCAGAACTAAATAATACTCCATTCCATTGTCAAAACTTTTTTTACTATTTCAAGAGGCCAAAAATACTTCCGTTACTGATTCTCGTTCTGTTTTGTATAAATTAGTTGCAATAATCATGCACATTGCTAACCATAAACTATTCAAACCCGTATCGACTACATCCAAAAATGAGGAAAAACGTAATTTTTTTAAGGTACAATTCGCCAATAAAGGTTTAGATGCTGTAAATATTAGCAATATTTTCCATCAGAAATCTGTACAAAAAACTATACCTGATTACTTCAAAAATAAAGCTACACCTGTTATTTCTTATACTTACACCAAGTCTATTGCATCCAAGATTTTCAACCACAAGAGAGTTTTGGAGGCCTTTAACCTCAAAGATTGGAAATCAAAGGATCCGGATTGCTCATGTGCATCGTCACAATACAAGTATAGTCCAGCTGGTCATGTTATTACTGGTGACCTTGGCATCGTTACCAATGAACAACTAAGAGAGTTGTTAGCCAAGGGACCAAAATATAGAATTCCCCAGCCCATCAACTGGAAAAAAAAATTCCAGTTACTGATGGATGCAGTTGAGGACTATGCAAGAAAATGGGTAAAGCGCGAACCAGACGAACCAGAACTTGACACTTTGTCTGAATGGATCAAAGCTATTCGATCATTCATTCAGAAGCGCATTCAAAAACTACGATGCAATATGAGCACAAGAGTTACTAACCCTTTCAAGAAATCCGGATGTTGTGGATGCTTTATCCTCTTTGCATGACAAATATGTCGTTGTTCCAGCAGATAAAGCCTCCAATAATATTGTCTTCATATGTAAAAACCATTATTCGCAATGTCTCACAACAGAGCTTGGAATAAATAGAACTACTGGTAACCCTACATATTCTTTAACATCATTTACCAAGGACGAAATTTTACAAAATCACAAATCTGTCCTTCTTTCTTTTGGTATCAACATCAAAGAAAACGAAGAAAATTTACCATCATTATACTGGATACCAAAACTACGTAAAAATCCATATAAAGAACGATACATAGCTGGGCCATCAAAATGTTCGACTAAACATCTTTCGAAAGTACTGACTTCTATTCTTTCTACAGTTAAAGATGGGCTTCAAAAATATTGTGATGAGATATATTCTACCAGTGGTGTTAACCAGATGTGGATTCTCAAAAATTCGAAAGATCTACTGCTTAATCTTCGATCACAATCTTTGCATTTTGCAGAAACATAAAGACTTTCGATTTTTCTACGCTTTACACTACTATTCCCCATGCTTAGTTGAAAGATCTTCTTCACCATCTCATTAAACAGAGCTTTTTCTATAAAAATGGGAATCGTAGTTACAAATTTCTTGTTTTGGGTTACCATAATTCATATTTTGTGAAAAACCACACTGAATCTACCAGAAAATATACTGAAGATGATATTATCTAAATGCTGGACTTTTTGATCGACAATATATTTGTTGAGTTTGGAGGATTTA